CAACCTGGTGAGTGAGAAGGGGTCAGTCTTGTCGTTACTTCCTAAGGTCTTTCCCTAAGCAAACCCTTACTAAACACGTTATTAGCGTTTCCTTTCCTTCGATGAGAGCCGTTCTCGCTTTCATCCTTCATACTTTAATTTATTACTCAATAACTTATGGAATATCATTACTCCTAACCTTATCTTATAAAAGTTATATGCTTTTATCCTTGACACTTTATTCCGCCATTACTCATAGAAATTCTCGACTTCTATCCTTAACTCAAACACAAGACACTAGGACCACCGCATTACGTCTCACCGTCCAGTGTCCTACCCTAGTATGCCAACCGCGTTACGTCTCGCCGTTCGGTTGCATACCCAAATTCGACAATGGCACTACTTTACGTCTCGCTGCCCAGTTCATGCCCGATAAACTACTGCGTTACGTCTCGCCGTCCAGTAGTGACCCAACCGCCCGGGGGTTCATCTTACCATTAACCAACTATTACAATCATACAACCATACATTCATACATAGCACAACGCGTGCCTCCACCCTTATAGGCGGTGAGATGCCTAGCACACATATCGCGCATTACTCAAAACTTAACTAATTAATAACTTGAACGAAAAGCATAAACTAAAAGACCTACGATATAGATTTTACCCCCTTTACACTCACCTCGAAAAGATGACTCCTTGATTCCTTCCTTGAAGAAACCCCTCCTTAGTCGGATTATTTTGGGGAAACCTCTAGAACGTGCCTAGGACTAGATTGGATGGCCCGAGACATTGATCTCCTCGTTGATCGAACCCTCAAACGTCACCGCTAGAAACACAAAAGGGATGGGATCGGGATCGGGGTCGGGATGGAGAGCTGGCGTTCCCTTTCTTTTCTTCTTTTTCTCGCAGCGGCGGCTGCTTGCAAAAATACCCGAGAAGGGTTTTGATTTGTTTGCTGGAGAGTTTGCGGCTGGGGAAATTTGCGGCAGGAGGGTGGGTTTTGTTTACTGGGGGAGTGGGGAATAATTGCTGGGGAAGGGTTTGGGTGGAGTGATGGCCACTCGACCCTTTCCCATGTATTTTTTTATAATAATAATAATATAATTATTATATTGTTATTATATATAATCTGCGGTTGCAACACTTCGTACGTAATCGTCGATCCAACCATTTGGTCGAATCTAAAACAAATATCGGGGTGTTATAGTGCAATTCAAGGTGACTTCTCATAAGGTGACTCATCCATGTTGTACTCCACACTGAGCACAACAAGGAGCTTTTTCCGATCAAGATATTGCCCGCTTTTGACCTGCGGGCAATTCAAGGTGACTTCTCATAATGTCATCCATCCTTGTTGTACTCCACACCAGGGGTGAAAATCGGTACGGTATCGGTATCCCAATACCAAATACCGAAATCCCGAATATCGAATTACACCCTAGAATCAATCACAATCCCAATCCCTAAATAATTTCGGTATCCCAATCCCTAAATATTTCGGTATCCCAATCGGTACTTCGGTATCCCAATCGATATTACCGAATACAAAATTAATTACATTTATAATTAATAATTAATATATAAATTAGATTTGATTGTTTAATATAGGACAAATAGACTAAACAAAGAGTTTTGAGTTTGACTAGAGCTAATATAAAGATAAAGAGAATCGAGTAGTAGTGACATATCAAGTTTTTGTCATTGGTAATCTTTAATTTGATGAATTGGAGGCTGAGAGAAGACTAATACTAGTGTTTGCTTTTTGGTGTTATGAAAATAACAATAGATTGGTGGTTGGGGGTAGTGTAGTAGTGAATGAGAGAGTCTAGTTGAGAGGATAAACTACACACAAGCTTATATTTCAGTATTGTTTGGTATTTTGGTATATACCGATCCCAATCCCGTTACCTTAATACCGAATAACAATTGAAATTGAATCCCAATCTCAATCCCAAGAAATAATACGTGTATTCGATAATACCAAATATAGACAAATTTGGTACGGTATTCAGTATATCCCAAATACCGGTCTCAAACTTCCAGCCCTACTCCACACTATGAGAACTCCTCCATTTCACTCCAATACGCGTCTTATAAGTTAAGGTCGGTTTCTTACTTATGAACCATGGATCTCTCCCATGCTTTGTCGATGTGGGATTTGCCTAAAGTGTTTTATTCTCTCCTACATTCAATTCAACATAGCACTGCAGTTCTCTATGTATTTATTCCAATAAAATGTTTCGTTTTATTTCAGCACCTGTCTACCTGCTTCTAGGGTGTTCAAACAGAGTGGTTATCGTGGTAACCGGTAGTATTTGAATAATTTGGTTTAATTAATTCGGATAATTAGTTTGGTTTTGTTAAATTTTTTAGCTTGTTTGGTTTAGGTGGTTTGATTTGGTTTCCGACAATCCTAACCAATCAAACCAAATTAACCAATTAAGTAATTAACCATATATCTAATATATATTGTATACACATACTTAATACGTTGCCTAACCAATCAAGAGTCAAAATTCCTCTATTTTAGGCTCATAAAAAAATAAAGCTCAATATTGTTCCTATACTGTTTATTTATATTTGTAAAGTGTAGAGCACAACACGTAAACGCCTAATTTAGATAAAACTCATACACTATGTTGGATGAAAACTTGAATGTAATGTCTTTTCCGTCTATTATAATTGCTAATAGACTAAATCAATTTACATAAAGAAAATAATTCATTAACACTATACCATTGTCCATTGACATATATTGACTGTAAGATAATTGTATTAGTTGCATGTATTTATGTTAAAGGTTTACTATAACTATTTGTTAATTGTTATACTTTATTCATTATATAAATTGAAAATCGATGAATTAACCAAACAATGTACCGAATTAATGATAACTTGATACTATATTGGTTATAATATTTTATTATATAATTAATATAATTGGTGGCGTCTTCGGTGCAATCACTTTTTTGGGTGCATTCAGTGCACTCGTTTCATAACCATCATTTTAAAATGCATTTATGTAAAAATGATGTCAATCATCACTTATTATGTGATGAACAATAACGCACATGAATTTGCACAAAAACAATTTAAGATTTACTTTAATTTGAAGGATTTAGAGTTTAGAGATTTAGGGTTAGGGTTAGCGTTTACAATTTGGGGGTTAGGGATATAACTCAAAATTGGAGGTCCAGGGCTTAGGGTAATTGGCTAATTAGTTGTTATCATACATTATATCATATTACACTGATTCTACATATTAAAATTCAAAATTCGACACCTTAAGACTATTTTTTGAGATGGGTGCATTGAACGCATCCATTTTTGTGAGTGCACCAATGTAGTCACCAATATAATTTAGCTTTATTTGGTTTGATTATCATGATAACCATTTGAACCATAAAAAAAACGGGAAAAATCCCAAGTTACACATGTTTTTAAAAAAAATTCTCAAAATACACACGTTATGAAAATAATTCCCAATCTACGTTAGTTTGGGTCATCACCGCTGTCGACGAAGACAGTGATTGCATCAATGTTGTCGACGAAGACAGTGATTGCATCACTGTTGTCGACGAAGACAGTGATTGCATCACCGCTGTCGACGAAGACAGTGATTGCATCACTGCAGTACACGGCCGCGGTGAAGGCCTGACCTGCGTCGAAACTTTAAACAAACGTAACTTTGTGCTCGGTTATCCGATCGTAGCGAAATTTTTTTTGATTCCGCATAATTTTTCGAGATCTTGCAAGCCGCAAATGGCCGTAGGCGGTTTGGTCCCGCCTTCGTCTCGAAAATATGTCGTTTGCTACCCCGAACGAGCCTTTTTTCGATTTCGTCAAACTTTGAACGACCATAACTTTGTGCTCCACAATCCAAAAATCATGATTTTTTTTTTATTTTGCATAACTTTTTAAGGACTAAAATTTTTATCATAGACATATTTTCGGAATGTACTTGGATTCCTGAAAAGGAAGGTAAAGTTATTCCCAAAACCCCTTATATCCTTAAATAATTCATTTTTTGAAAATTCTCTCGTACTAAATATTGTAGTCCTTAAAAAGTTATGCGAAATAAAAAAAAATTCATGATTTTCGGATTGTGGAGCACAAAGTTATGGTCATTCAAAGTTTGACGAAATCGAAAAAAGGCTCGTTCGGGGTAGCAAACGACATATTTTCGAGACGAAGGCGGGACCAAACCGCCTACGGACATTTGCGGCTTGCAAGATCTCGAAAAATTATGCGGAATCAAAAAAAATTTCGCTACGATCGGATAACCGAGCACAAAGTTACGTTTGTTTAAAGTTTCGACGCAGGTCAGGCCTTCACCGCGGCCGTGTACTGCAGTGATGCAATCACTGTCTTCGTCAACAACAGTGATGCAATCACTGTCTTCGTCGACAGCGGTGATGGCCCAAACTAACGTAGATTGGGAATTATTTTCATAACGTGTGTATTTTGAGAATTTTTTTTAAAAACATGTGTAACTTGGGATTTTTTCCAAAAAAACCCTACCTACTTCTATACCATCTTCACTCTTCCGTTTCTCCTCTATACAGACCGCCACCCCAAAAACCGCTTCTCTCCCTCTTTCAACCCTGAAAGGATTTTGAGATTCCTCTACAAACAAAGGTAGGATTGCCCAGAAAATTTGATTCTCTCTGTTCTTACACAAATGAAACCCAATTCCAGAACCCACAAAAGGTATTTGCTCTGTTTTCTTTTTTTATGGATTTCGGATTGATTGTGGTTTCCTAGAACATTTAACTTTTAACAAGTAGTTCCAGTTTATGATTGAAAGATGGAAGCTTTTGTTGGGGGTTCTCTTTTTGTTCCTGTTCTGGTTCTCATGCCTTTTTGATTCAGTAATCGCCCGTCTTGTTTCCATTTTTAGGAGAGCTTGATGCAACTACAAATGGCGGTTTCGGTGAACTCAGAATTTTAAGATCGTCTACCTTTTTTCGGTATAGAAGTTTGGGAGATCTCTTCTCGACTCTTTTTTTTTTTTGTTAAGGATGATATATAATTAATTAACAGAGAAAAGGAAAAGGAAAAACAGGGAAAAACAGGAAAAAGCAGGAACTCAGTCTCGGCGCACAGTACTAATCGGCCGGACTGAGTTGAAAAGGTCCCTCTACAAGAACAGGACAGAACGGCAACAAAAAGAAGTTCCCGAACCCCAGCAAAAAGGCGAAAATACAGGGGACAACTGCTCCTGCGAGAAGAAATCAGACTGAGCGTGGTGGATGAGTGGCGCTATTAGGGAGCATTCTTGACCGCAGCTCATTCAACCAATGTTCAGCAGTCTCTTTATCTACCTTCTTAGCAGCAGTCAACCATCCAGAGATAGCACTTCCGATTTTAAAGACAAGTACCCGAGCAGGGCAAGCCACATCTCTGAATACTCTAGCATTCCTTTCTAGCCAAATAGACCAGCAAAAGGCGTGTAATGCGACCTTCGAACACCATTGAGCAGGGCTCTCTGGTTGTGCAGCAGGCCATCTTGTGATTCTTTCTTTGATATCGGTCGCCCCATCTACATGTAGGCTGATCTTCACGAAGGATTTCATCAGCAGCCAAACCTGCCTTGAGAATTCACAGGTGATGAAGATATGGTTGGCCGACTCCTCTTGTTTCTTGCAAAGAACGCACCGATTGGGGAGACATAATCCCTTTCTTTTGAGGTTGTCGAGTGTGAGGACTCTGTTGTGGTACACTAGCCAGATAAATAAGCAGATCTTCAGTGGAATCAAACTCTGCCATACCATCTTTGTCGGGAAATTGTTGATGCCCCTAGCTTGTGCCGCGGCTAGGTGATTTGCAGCCGAGTGAACGCTGAACCTCCCTGTGGGAGTCGCCGACCAGCATGGTCTCTCCGGTCCTGCACTAAGAATCAAAGAAGTAACAGACTCAAGAAGTTCAAATAATCTCACTCTCTCTCTCTCCGCCCCACCCCTAAGAGAATATATTAGTGGGATCTGCCACTGATGATTTCCCTCAGAATAAAAAAGATAATCCGCAATGGTGGATGATGTGGTCTCAGCCGCGGCAAATACTCTCGGGAATTCTTCCGCCAAGCGAACGCCAACTATCCAAGTGTCGAACCAAAAGGACGTGTGGAATCCACACCCCTGTTCAATGAAAGCCACCTTCCAGAATTCGTTCTTTAATCTCATGATGCTGGCCCAAGGGCTGCCCCCTATCCTGCCTTGAACATCTCCGGGAAACCAGGATGACAAATGATTGGGAAACTTAATCTCTATGAGGTTTCTCCACCAAGTTCCTCTCTCTGATGCATACCTCCAATGCCATTTAAAGAGAAGAGCCCTGTTATGGAGTTCTAAGTCCCTGATACCCAAACCTCCACGATCCTTAGAAGCCTTGCATAGATCCCACGACACGAGGTGAAGTTTCGCCTTATCCTGATTACCACACCACAGGAACTCCCTTTGAATCTTCTCTAAACTCTTCTCGACTCTTACATGATGTCTGCCTTATTTGCCTGGAAGAGCAAACCATGCATATGATTGAGCACCGGCTTCCATGGGAGTTCTTATTTTTTCTCATTTTTATTGTAAGATCAGTTTGTTATTCCATTTCTCAATCAGATGTCTTTATGAATCTGTAGATGGAAGAAGAAAACGAGTTTCTTTCACAAATTTGGCAACACTTGCTATTTGTTTTACTTATGTTCATGTCTCCCTTTTTCTCAAGCTTAGTTCTACAGTAATCCCTTTTCCTTCTCTACTTAGTTTTTCTGTGGAAGAAGCTTTTCTTTTGTCCGTTTGGATAAGGGTTCTTGGGGGAGAAAGTTCCATTAGATAAAAAGCGCATGACTTGGTCTTTGGTTAGTCAAGTAGTTACAACATTCGATCACAAAAGGCAAATAAAGTCTTGACCATCTATCTGTTGTTCTTGGCAGATCCAGTTTCCAAATTGGGCGGAAGATATTGGAGCTAGTCGTTTTGCTGCTATGTAGTGGTGGTTCATCTGTATGTATCATTAGCATACAATTTTGAAGCTTGATCAGAAGTCATCTTCCCCAAATGCCATTTTCGGTATCTAAAACTTTTCGCCTAGAGGAAGCCCAATCTCGCAGCAGGATTCTCAGTCACACCAATCAGATACATATGGCTCTCCAATAAGCAGCTCGTGTTTCACTGATGATGCCAATGAATATGGAGTTAGAGACTGCAATGTTGGGACCAGATTCTGATAACTTCATGAATATGGAAAGCGAGTCACTAGAGATGGATGAGCATCAGGTTAACATTGTTGACTTTCAGATTGGTCAAGGGACTCAGTGGGTAAGTTTGACTCAAGCATTCACTGGGAGACCCGGTGGGCGACCTCACATTCGAATCACAGCCGTAGATGACTCAACTTCAGCTTATGCGCGAGGTGGAGGGTTGAATATAGTAGGGAAGAGGCTGTCAAAGCTGGCTGAGTAGTTCAAAGTGCCATTTGAGTTCCATGCTGCTGCTATCAATGGCTGTGAAGCTCAAGTGCGGGATCTTGGTATTCAAGCTGCGGAAGAAGCTCTAGCTGTCAATTTCGCATTCATGCTTCATCACATGCCTGATGAGAGTGTCGATACAGAGAGCCATCGAGATCGGTTGCTGAGGATGGTTAAAGGGTTGTCACCTAAGGTGGTGACACTTGTCGAGCAGGAGGCGAATGTTTGAGTCAATCGACTACTACATGGCCATGTTTGGAGACACTCGACTACTACATGGCCATGTTTGAGTCAATCGATGTGACTCTCCAGAGGGATCATAAGGAGAGGATAAATATTGAGCATCATTGCCTTGCCAAAGCTGTTGCGAATGTGATTTCTTGTGAGAGAAGAGATAGAGTGGGGAAACATGAGCTTCTGGGGAAATGGAAGTCAAGGTTTGCCATGGCGGGGTTCACAGTGTCCTTTGAGCTCTTTGGTGAACGCTACCATTAAGACACTGCTGGAGAATTACTGCAAGCAGTACAGGCTTCAAGTGAGGGATGGTGCATTGTATCTCAGGTGGATGAACCTAGATTTGGTTGCTTCTTGTGCATGGAAGTGAAGAAAACTGGAAGGGGCACTAGGTTAGAATTTTCTCGCATGACAGTCAGGGGTTCGCTGCAACCTTTTCGTCTACGAATTGAAGCTGCCATTTTTTTGGCTCTACAAGCTTTATAAGTTGCAAGTTGAGTTCCTGTTGGCATTGTTAGCCTTGTACGACTGAAGCAAAGAGTTGAAAGGAAAAGCTGAAATGGAAAGTGGAGGAAAGGGAAGTGTTAAATAACCACTGTAGCTTTCTCTTCTTCCCATATGTATTAGACGACCAACCCAATAATATATCTCTCTACATCCTGTAATTATTGTGCCATCTAATTTACACAGCTGAAAAGTAGTGTCTGCAAACAACTCATTGTTCACCCCAAGGTCAAGAAAAGAATCTACTTTCCCTTAAGCTTGAACAGGTTCCGAGTCCATGATGTGTTGCTGAGTTGGTTTGCTGTCTGGATGAGTAGTGGCATCAGAATGAGCTTTGGAACCACAACCATTCTCTTCTAATGTATCTTTTGACTCACCCGTGTGTTGGTCATTTGTTCTGCCCTCGAGAATAGAACTTGTAGTGGCATCCGAATCATGGTCCGCGGCATCACTTTCCTCCAAGGCACGTGACTTCGCATTCTGCTGTTGTTTTGATTTCAATACATCCCTAGGGATGGGACTTGGAGAAATCTCGTCATTTCCCTTATCGACAACACTTTCTTTACTCTTGTCCCATTTTTCTTTCCTTCTCGTCTCGCCATTAAGTTCTTCCTTGGGTTTAGCATTGACATCAGGAGTGTTACAAGCTGGTTTACTGTACTCGAGTTGTCTGATAGGAATGTTCGAGGTAGAAACGTCGAGACCAGGTATGTTGTGAGTAATTGTCCTAGAAGGTGGGATGTCATGATCATGTTCTCCTTCGTAACTGGTGATAACCACCTTGGGATCATGGGATGCCTTCTCGACATGTTTCTTGACTGGACAGCCGGGACTTGAGCACCTATAGTAGCTCCTGCATATTGTTGTCGAGAGACAAACAAATTTCAGTCCCCTATTACCGGTTGTCTACAGGCAAAGGTGGATGGAATCTTTCTTATACACAGATTGCCTTGACAAGCTTACAACACCACAGACACGAGCTCAAAAGGTATAAGTGAACTTAAAATATCAGAAACAAAACAGTCTCTATCTCGTTTCCTACAACCTCCTAACATTGGTTAGGCTGAGTTTAAATGCCAGAATGGCTCCTCGAGTCACCAAAATCACACCACTAATACCATGTGTGGTAAGTTGACCAAATATTTCCACCTTGACCTAACCCACAAAGTTAAATCCCAACTCATAAGCAAACCTATGAACCCAAGATCCAACTCATTTGTGAGTTGGAAAGAGTTAGGTTGGGGAGTAACACCGAGGGTTGATTAGATGACTTTGGTGATGTGGCGAGCCTAATTTAGATTAAATGGACCGGCTGTTTTCTTGCATATCAAGCAATTAGTATAGTTCGTGCCTCATCAAAATTTTCAGTCAAGTGAGCATACTATTGAACACTCCACAGTTTAGCAACCATTTCCACATTTAAAACGAAATTTCATATCCACCCTTGAATTAAGATATTACCTCGGGTTAGGATTTCCTTTGACCATCTTTTGGCCATATTTGCGCCAACGATATCCATCAGTAACGATGATGTCCTCCTCGCTAAGAGTCTGAACAACCATGCGTGGTTCACCAGCGAGCTTGTCTACAGCAGGAGGATCAACAATCCCGCGGTTCCCTTTCTTCCTGGTTGGTTTGTAAACAGAAATACCACAAGAAAATATTACTATAGAAACAACCATAGCAAAGTAATGCTATGCATTATAGATAGTTATGCAGCTAACATACTTCCGTTTAGACTGGGGATCATCATTGTGATCACTTTCATCTCTTTTCCTCATCGATTCTGATGGCACAGCTCTCACATCCTCGCTAGATGTCAGCATGGACATCGGACAGGCATTTGTAGAATCGATTGGAGGGCGTCCTTTCCCTACTACACCATAATATCATATCATGAATTAGCATATCATGACATTAGATTAGAAATCATTTATTCTGTTGATACGTAAAAATCACTTTACCTTTCACAGAAGGTGACCAAGGGCCATCAGATCTTTCTTCGATCGGTGAAACAACACCTACAGCAAGTGGGAGATTGGCTTGAGGCTTAGGATGATCATGCTGGCCAAAGTAAACGATATCCGCGAGCTTGCCCTCATGTGAACGTTCCAACTGCTTCTTAACTTGACAGCTGGGATAAGTACATTTGTAGTAGCTTCGAATGAATTCATTGCCTTTAACAAGTTTCTGCCCGTACTTTCTCCAGTTGTATCCATCCTCTAAGACTTTTTCACGTATGGCAGGATTTCTTCCATCCTTAATGGATTGTAAAGGAAGTGGGTTGGCATGCGAGACTTTCTCATGCTCCATGGAAGACACACTTGCTCCATCGTCTGGTTCCCTCGGAGTTTGCTCATAGACAACAATAGACATTGTTTTTTCTTGACTCTGTGATGTATGAGTCGCAGTTTCATTGATCTCTTCACCCTTTTCAGATCTGACATCATCAGCGCTCTTTTGTTGCTCCTTCTCAATCACGGGAACTTCCTCTGGACCTTCCACTGAAGAAGCCATGACAAACTGAGGGCGATTGCTAGACACAGAAGGAGATCTAATCGAGATGCTAATTGTATTTTAGTGGTTGATATCTGTGCAAATGTTTCAACAACAATGATAGTTGGAATTATCTGTCGCACACGATTCTGACCCATCAAGACATCCTAAAGGTTTGTCATTCTACGAACAATGATGAACAAACACAGAAGGAGCTGGAAAAGAATTGCCCACCCATTATGGAGAACAAAATTGCTCCAGTCCAGAGACCTTCGTGTCATAGTGAAGCAGTCTCACCATTCCATCATAGCTAGACTTCATGAGTTTGACTCACATGCTATCGAACTCAACAAAGGAGAAAGAGAAACACTAAAAGTCAGGAGTTCATCGTGTTAGGAGAGAGCAGAATCCACTGTCGTCCTAGTAGAGCAACAACACAATCTGCACCAAGTGATACGGGGAAATAATTCAAGCAAGCACAAGAAACTGAAGATTCCATTTGTTCAACACAACAAGGTTTCGGGAAAAGTTCAAAAGTTACTTATTCAACAACAGTCCCACATTTTCCCACCGCCGCAGACTAAATTCCACCCTAGACCATACCAAAATCACAGCTTTTAGTAAATGTTGAGTATAATTCAGAGGCAAATCTTCTACAAAGAAACCTCAACACAACAAAGCTTTCCATATGGATTAACTTCACGGCAGATTGGAGGAATCAAGCCGATTACATCCATACCAAAAATAGCAAGAATTAATGAATTATGCAATGAAAATAGCTCAAAGTGTTCAACTGGACCTTAAAACCAGACCCAGAAAGACAATTCAATCACAACTAGAAAAGATCCTTTCCTTCCTTCATTTCCCCTCAGCTAATACAACAGCCACACTTCCCCGCTTACCCTTCCCCGCCAACGAAACAGCGAAACCCAGAATCGAGAAATAGCCGCCAATCGAATCCAACACAAAAAGGAAAGCACATACCGGGAATAACAGAAATAACCGTCGGAAACAGACACAAGACAATTACCTCGGCGGTGACGACGATCGCTCTCTCAGATGGGAGTCCCAAAGTTGAGAGCAGAGTGGATCGTAAAGACACTACTACTGAAGCGGAAGTTTCGAGAAGTTCCACGGGATTGGGCGTTTTTGTTGTTGTTGTTGTTGTTGGGGTTGATTTGCGGACGGCAGACAAGCACTGCAGCGTGGGAATTCAAGGATTTATGTTGGTGGGTTTTTGTTTATTTAAGGCTGTAAGAAATTCCGTTAATCCATTTATCACAGAGAGAGAATAAGAAGGAAGAAGAAGACGAAGGAGGAGAAAGGAGCTCACACACGAGATATATTAGTGTGCGGTGAAGATCTACGGAAGAATCTATGCGCCCCAGCGCGCTAAAAATTCATTTGTACAATTGAAAAACGAGATGATTTGATCAATTGTTTCATTTTACAAAATAACTCATTTAAAAGAGCCGATTCGAGTTGACTATTACTATTTCATGTAATGATGTGGCTTCCACATACAATGGAGTTTAATTGACTAACTAATACCCCTCTTTCTTATAAATTAGGGTTTCTAATGACATGCCTAAAACATTCTTTACCGAAGTAAGTGGCTATGTAAGCCGGTTTAGTTAGAGAAACGAATACCTCTACGATAGAGAAACAAAAACAAATGTCCACCCGCGGCCGCCTCTACGATTTCTCCGCCGGCGCCGGCGGAGAGAAAATCTCTAGCATGCGAAGCCTCTAGTTAATTGTCACTCCCGACGGCAATCCAAATCTCCACTCTACATGAGGATGCCATCATCCTTCTCCGCCGCGGATTGGGGTTCCATCAAGGTTCAGATAAACACCAACGACTATGGTGGAGCTTCTTCCAGGTTCTTCTCTCTTTCTATTGTTCCGGTCTTTCTTTCAATTTCTGAAGTTTGATCACCGTCTAGATGAATTTATCGAGTTACAATTGAATTTCGTCGATCCTATAGTACTTATGGGCAGAGTGGTTTGGGCAATGAGGTGATGATCACCTACCTCATATATTTTTGGGTAATTAGCATAAATGGTCACAAACCTTTGTACTTAGTACAAAACAGTCACAAACCTTTAATTTGTAACCATTTGATAACAAAACTTTTTACTTAGAACAAAACGGTCACAAATTAAACAGTGTGACCATTTCATACCAGTTCAAACTTTTGTTACCGTATCGTTGCAAAGTAGACATTTGGTGACCGTTTTGTACAAATTAAGTTCAAAAGTTTGAACGCTCTATCATCGTTACAATTCACTCTACTTGTATGGTGGTTTTGTTAATGTATGTGAATGATATGATCGTCATAAAGGATGACAATAAGAGAATTCAATGGCTCACAAACGGGTTCCAGACTGCTTTTTAGTTGAAAAAACTTTGTCTACTTTCTTACTTTCTTGGTATCAAAATTGAAAGGTCAACTGAGGGAATTCTTATTCGGCAAAGCAAATATGTCGATGAACACATGACTTGACATCTTATATGTCGTTCAAGTGGTTAGTGTCATATACTTAATGAACAAACTACCCGACCTCTAAACATGACAAACATTTAATTTGTAACGATTCAGTAACAAACCTTTGCACTTAAAACAAAACGGTCACAAATTAAATAGCGGTGACCATTTTATACAATTTCAAAGTTTTGTTACCGTATTTTTACAAATTAAAGGTTTGTGACCGTTTTATACTAAGTGCAAAGGTGTGTTCCCATTTATGCTAATTACCCTATATTTTTGTCTTTTAGTCAGAGCTACATGTCCTGTTATCTATTAAAATTCATCTAGATACAACGCTTGTCGTTGCTTCACCACCACCACAAACTACTCCTTCCACATCCTTTCGTTTCCTTTCCCCAACTTCCTCATCCATCATTGCCTAAGCCACCTTCTTCCCACTCATGTCACACAAGATTTAGATCCGCTCTGGATTCTCGATTTGCTTTTTTTCTTTTGTAATGCCGATGCAGCTTTCCCTCCACCGTTCTCCAGTTTCGAGCTCGGATCGGTCCAACAACATCCCTTCCAGATACATGCAACGAATAATCAGAGAAGAAGCCTTGAAGGCAAATCTTCAATCCGGCCGATTGTCTTTCATGGGCGGCGAGTCACGACGGGTCATTGTTGGGAGTCGATTAGAGAAAGGAGAGGGTTGTGGTCTTGTGGAGATCGAGATATATATATATATATATATATAGAGAGAGAGAGAGAGAGAGAGAGAGAGAGGATGGTTGTGGAGATCGAGAGCTGGGGATTAGGTGGCGATTAGAGAGACATAAGGGTTGGGGAGATTCGAGAGGGAGAGGGGAGATGGGAGGGCTATCGAAATCGAGAGTGGGGACTGGGTGGAGATTAGAAAGTAGAGAGGAGGGTTGGGGAAGATCGAGAGAGAGAGAGAGAGGGGAGGGCTGGGGAGATCGAGAGAGAGGAACTGGTCGGCGATAGAGAGAGAGAGAGAGGAGAAGAGTTGGAGAGATCGAGAGCAGTAATTAAAAGCCGTCCAGTTGAAAGGGCAGAGGTATAAAAAGAGGAAAGGGCAGGGGTACTCGGTATGCGGTATACTGATTAACTGTCGGTTTTTAACCGAGTATAAATCGGTATACCGGTAGCTGAATTTTGGTCACCGAATACCGACACCGCTGGTTAACGGTATAACCGGCAACTGGCAGTTACCGGTTCGGTTCCCGGTTACCACCCCTACGGCGTGGGTTCCATGGTTACGATAATTTTGGAATAATTTAACCTTTTGCCTGATTATTGACATGACATTCAATCGCATTTCCGTTCCTCCGCTATGAGTCAAATCAGAGGTGTTATTCCTCAATTACTCTATCTAATAAATAGACACTGAAACCATTTACATGGTTCATTTTCCGTTTCATCTTTTGTTGCCCTTTTTAATTCGCTAATTGCGAAGGTTATTGTGATTAGAATTTTAAGTAACCTCATTTTAATGACTTTCGTTTCCCTCTTTTATGGGCTTATGGGTTCCTCATCTATCTTCTTCAATTACGTTGCTTTAGCTTATTACTGTGCTTTCATTGTCTACTTCCCATTGATTCCAATTATTCTAAAATTGCTCCTTTATTTTTTTTTTCGTTGAATCAGTTGCTTTTATTTCAAGTAAACCGACACAACGAAGCGAGAAGAGTCTCGAGTACAGCGACAATCTCTACCGTATCAAGCTACTAACAACTATGCAACTACCAGGAAACAGGAAAAGAACCAAAAGTGAGCCTTTCTACAAGTATCCCAGCTCTTCTAGTATGTCTCTGTAACTCCTATTGCCATAAACTATAAATTGCAAGTCATCACGAATCAGGTCTGCCACCTGAGCAGGAGCACGACGCTGAGACCCATGAATCACACCACATCTTTCTTTCCATGTGTAAGTCACCATCAAGCACCACATCAGACCATGCCACAGTCTTGTTCTCGATGTCCCAACCTGTTCCAACGCCCTCAACATCTGCTCCCAGTCATTTCGCAGCAGCATTGAACACTGCAGTTCACCTGCAAGCTGTTTCCAATAAGAACAATGAACAAACAAGTGATCTCTGCTCTCAATTGAAGAGCTGCAAAGCTGGCATGATGCATCACTAATTTTCCCCCATCTCTGTAACTTATCTCTCGTAATAATAGCCTTCTTGACAATCAACCAGACTATCAGACTACATCGCGGGGGACAATTCTTGCCCCAAACCAAACTGTACCAGGCAACTTTGGGAGCTTTGTGTCTCAGGGTTTCCCATACCCTGTTAGTAGAATAGACCATCATTTCTTTCGAGTCCCAGTATACAGTACCATTCTGATTCTTCACCCAGGGATAGATGACAGACCTTAACTTTAGCAGTTTTCTCCAAGCCCATGAACTACTAGCTTGCACCCTTACTGACCACAAGTCCAAATCCCTGCATTTATACGTTTTCATCCATGCTACCCACAAGGTCCCAGAATTCATAAGAAACAGCCAAAGTAATCTTACGCAACAAGCTTGATTCCATGCTCCTAAGTCCTTCACCCCTAAACCCCCTTCCTGTTTAGGCAGAGAAATAAATTCCCAAGCCACTTTCGCCCTGCCTTCAGTAACACCATGCCATAAGAACTGCGAGCAGATTTTCTGAATCCGTTTCAAAGCTAGTTTAGGAATGACAAACAATTGCATCCAGAACTGAACTATACTAAGAAGCACTGAGTTCAGGAGTTGTAGCCTCCCTGCATATGTGAGCTTTTTAGCTCGCCATGATTTAATGCGCTTTGTGATTTTATCCACCAAATTATCAATCTTTGAGGAAGAAAGTTTACCTGCCAGAAGAGGCAGTCCCAGGTATCTGACAGGTAAGGCCCCTTCCTGGAACCCTGAAAGCTCTAGCGCATTGGTTTTGTACTGAACTGACTCACCCCCAAAATATATTTCGCATTTAGCTGGATTACACTTGAGACCTGACACCCTATAGAGCTGATTGAGAACTTCCCTTACCTGAACAATTGCTTGAGCAGAACCTTTAGTAAATATGAGGAGATCATCCGCAAAGCATAAATGATTCAATTCGACTTTCTTACATAGAGGGTGAAAAGGCACTGCTCCTGATAGACTAGCCTCCTTCAAGAGTGTGGATAAACCTTCCATGGCTATGGTGAACAGGTAGGGTGACAAGGGGTCACCCTGCCGAACTCCCTTCTTAGCTCGAAAAAAGCCACAAAGACTACCATTTATGTTAAAACTGTAATGTGCAGTCTGTAGGCAGGTTCTAATCCATAACAGAAACTTCTCAGGGAATCCAATAGTCTTCATCATAATGAACAAATACCTCCAATTCACAGAGTCAAATGCCTTCATTATGTCCACTTTTATTGCACAGCGAGATGAAAGATGTTTTCTATTATAACCACTTACTAACTCTTGAGCTAACAGAATGTTGTCCATAATGCTTCTACCTTTAATAAAAGCAGACTGGGAGCTGCTTATGATTAAAGGCATTACTTCACGGATTCTAGTTGTTAAGATCTTAGCTATGACTTTGTATAGGATGTTAAGGCAAGAAATAGGTCTAAAGTTTCTAAGAGTATCAGCATTAGTGACTTTAGGTAACAAGGACACAGCAGCAGAGTTGATGCCACTAGGAAGCATACCTGTAATGAAGAAACACTGAATACCCTTGACTACATATTCTCCAATAACAACCCATGTCTTCTTGAAAAAACCAGCAGAGAATCCGTCTGGTCCTGGGGCCTTCTGTGCATTCATACTAAATACTGCAGCCTTGATCTCATCAGTGGTAACCTGCTTAATTAAACCTGCACATTCTTCTTGGGGGAGCTTGCTCCTTTATTGCCTTGTAGGTGGTAATTATGCTTAATGCATATTTCCCTATCTAG